TATAATTCAGTGTTCATATAGAAGTATTTGTTTCGAAAGAATTATTTTCTTTCGTGTAATTCAATGTTTATATGAAAGTAGCTGTTTCAGGAGGACTTTCTTTCAGTTTGTGTCTGAAAGTTACTTCTTTGCATGATCTACACATTCATGTATAGAGTTTCGAATTGATTACTTCCTTCCTTTCTTTGGAAGATTCTCTCATCCGTATTTTTTGTATCAGATGGAGTAGTAGAAAGCCAAAAACTTTCTTTCCCAAAAAAAATTGAACTTCACATATTTCTTACTCCATGAAATTTGGAGTGTAAAAATTATTTTTTTCATTTGAATGTTTTGATTTGTTATAGAATGACCCTGTGAGAGGTTTAAGCACATGTTATACTCATAATGGGGAGGATTTGAAACTCTTAAAAGAGCTGTCAAACAATGCAGATTAATAAATTGAAATTGGCGTCGTATTATTACTTTAACGCCAAATAATTCCTAATGACCTTGAATTTTTACTGAAGGAGCTGTATCATTATCCTCAATGATATATTTTACGTCACTAAACTTACTTTCAGATCCTTAATTTTGACACCGAAGGTGAAAACTCAAACTATGATATGTGAGATATAGAATCTCACAATGTGAATAATAGGTTATTTCCCATTGAAAATCATGTTGAATCATTATAATGAATTCATGATAACATATTTAAACAATACTTTGTTTAAGAAAAACTTCATTGTGAGATTTTCACTAAACAGTTATTCAATAACGCAACACGTGTTTCGCTATACAATTTCTCCAGGCGTGTCTGTACAACTAGTATAGCTGGTTTTGTAAATTTTCAGTAAAGGTTTTATCGAAAAATTGCTTAATACAAAATAGTAAACATATGGATGTTCAAACAATTGTCCATTATTTTCCACACAGATAACACCTTCTGTATTATTTCCGAATATATCGTTATGCTTTGAGAAAAAATCGAATGGAGTGAAATCCGGCGAACGTGGGGGCCACGAAACTGTTAAATGGATACCTATCCATTTTCCAGAAATATGTCCAATAGATAGGTAGGTATGTTGAAACTGAGTGCGTTTATTCAACCATCCACTGCAAACCTCGGAGGTTTATTGTGGCTCACATCTTTTCAAATTCGACCAAATGAATATAGCTTTTTAACGAAGCCAACTACTTTATTTCGTGAGTGATCTTTTAGGGCTGAATTTCATTGTGAAGAATAATCCACTCCGAAGTTGACAGTCCATGGTATATTTTCATTGATTTAGTGAGGACCGTATCGGCGATATCACCTTCGACAGGTAGGTAAGGAACATAAACATGAGGCTTCCCAAGCCACCATATTTTATCAATTAGTTCTTTGCAACCTTCCATGGCTGCAGGGAAGGCTGCAGCCCTGGCAGCTCAGGCAGCTCAGGCAACTCTAGAATCGTACCTGTGGACCATCTTCTGGAAAATCTGCTACAGCGTCCATAATATTGAAAAGATTTTAGTTGACTGATCAATATTGAGGTTTTTGGGTGTTTCAGATGCAATATTACCACCTCGATACTCGCAACAACCTTACCATATAGTGGTATCATACATGACGATACATTAGATTCCGCCATGCCGGTTTTTTTGCCTCTGATTTGCGTGAATCATCGTTTGATCGTAGGTGTTTGCTGACCTGTTCAGGGGGAGTTTGTTTCCTCTGTTGAGGCAGATTCAGCTTCTGCCTCAGGAGGCGATCAGTCACTTCCTGGCTGAACTACTCCTGAGTTTGTTAACAGGGTCAAGAGTTGGACAACTGGGAGACTTTGCATTTGACCCGGTGCTACAGAAAGAACAGTTGACTCAGGTCAGATACAGGGTCGAATTCTGTGGTTACTTCATAGTCCATAAAGGTCTCCACGACTCCGTAAGAAAGGAAGTCCATCACGACAAAGCTACACATTACCGTGACAAGCCATCTTAGGTTGGTGTCGCCAGTTAGGAGAACTCAGCAGGGCAATGTCCGATTCATATCCGATCATAATAGGGTAATTCAATCCAAATACGTTTTTTGGTAGGTTTCGTTACATAAGTTTGGTTCTTGGGTGGTCTTTTTTGTGGGCCCTTGTTATAGGCTCATTTCTTTTCAGGGGTTCAG